AAATTTGCCTGTCATAAAATTCGCCTTCCTGCGCGCCCACCTTTGCGAGAGAGTCCGCCTTCTCATTGCCTGGGATTGAGCAATGTGATGGGACCCATACAAAGGTAATCATATATGATCTTTCGACCAGTACAATCATCTGCTCCCTTACCTTTGAAAGGAAATAAGATGAGTGCCTACTTGGTTTCATCGACCGAATAGCCTCAATCGAACTGAGACTATCCGAGAAGATGAAGTAATGGTCTGCGGGCATGTTGGAAATCATCCCCAATGCGAAGTTGATTGCTGCCAGCTCAGCAACAAAAACGGAACAAGGTTCCTGGAGTTTGCGGAAGGCGCTAGAGTTTTCATTGAAGACACCGAAGCCAGTGGATCCACTGAGACGAGACCCGTCTGTAAAATATCTGTTTACGCAATTGACGTGTTGGTACTTTTCAGTAAAAATACGCGGGATAATAATAGTTCGAAGTTGATCTGGAATCCCGTTAATCACTTGTTTCATGGACAGATTATATTCAATTGAGGAACTGCGATTGGTGAAGTGAGCACGGTCTGGAGTATAACAAGGAAGACACATATCCGACGATATGTAGTGGTGGTAGATTCTCATAAATCGAGATTGTGAATTCAGCCTCAGCCCAAGAATTTCTTCAAAATTTGCAATTATAAGTGTGTTCGTCACTCCGCATTTGATTAGTATTCTGAGAGAGAGCTCCCAGAAACGGTTCTGGAGGGGTGTTACTCCTGCCAGAACCTCGAGACTCATGTTATGCGTTGAGTGCATACAGCCAAGAGCAATACGCAGACAACGATATTGCATTCGTTCCAATTTTATTAGGTGACATTTTCTTGCCGAGAGAAAGCAGAAAGAGCCGTACTCTAGAACAGAGAGAATAGTTGTTTTATAAAGCGTCCCGGATGAGAACCCCACCATGTGCCGCAAATTGAACGGAGAAAGTTGATCCTCTGCTGACATTTTTGCTTCAAATACGTAATATGGCATTCAAAGTGTTTTTATGTTACTTCATACGCGAAGTTAACGATTTTCAGAGTTGCTTGGAAATGCTAACATGAAGCTTTAGTGTGATGATTTATTAGCTAGAGAATGATCTTTAGAAGAGGGTAGGTGGATAGTTCCGTTAGAAAATGAGCGAAGGGCCATTAATGCGACAGTTTTTCAAGATAGACGCACATTTTTGCCTAACCCGTACGATGTACGCAGGGACTTGAAGTATGTCTCCAAGTCCACAGGCCTGTGGTAATGCACGAAAGCATCGCAATCGGGCGGTATGAGTTATGGTCAGACGCTGGTTTGCCAGGTTTTCGAATGGCTATTACTTTGACCTGTCTCCATTCAGGTGGTATAATGTTGTTTTCTAGTAAGGAATTGAATAAGTCTAGCAAGCGTCTTTTAGCGATATCTGGGAGATTTTTCAGAAGATTGAATTTAATCATATCGCTTCCCGGTGAGGAGTTGTTCGATGAAAGAAGAGCCATAGAGAATTCCAGCATTGTGAATGGTCTATCCAGAGAGCTGCCGCTCGGAGACGCTTCTCGAAGAATGTGTTGTGCTGGAACTTAGTCCGGACAGACCTTTTTAGCGAAATCGAATATCCATCGGTTAGAGTATTCTTCACTCTCATTAGAAGATGCGCGGTTACGCATGTTGCGAGCCACCCTCCACAAGGTGGTCATTGAGGTTTCTCGTGAGAGTCCCTCGACGAAATTGCGCCAATAACCGCGTTTTTTTGCTTTGATTAATTGTTTCAGCTTTGTCTCAAGCTTTGAATATTCCTCGAAGTATGTGGAGGTTTTGTGTCTACGAAAAGCTTTGAAAGCATCAGATTTTTCTACATACAATTTTGTGCATTCTTCGTCCCATCCAGGTGTGGCTGGTCTCCTTTTGAAGGGCGCACTTGGAACTTTTCTTTTTTGTGCTTCCAGTGAACTTTTGTAAATCAAATCGGCGAGGAATCGATATTCTTCCAATGGTGGAAGCGTATCTATTGATTCGGCACCGATTGTCACCGCCGTTGCATATTTATGCCAATCTATGTTCCTAGTAAGATCAAATGGAACTCGAGATGGTTCTGCAGAGTGAGGGGCACACTTAATTGAAATGATGATTGGCAAGTGATCGCTACCATGGAGATCATTGATAACCTTCCACTGACAATCCAATGATAGCGATCTTGAACACAAAGATATGTCGAGTCGGCTTTCTCGAGCCGGAGGTTTTGCTATACGTGTCGCTTCACCAGTGTTCAAAATAGTCAAGTTGAAATCGTCGCATAAATCGTAAAAAATAGCCCCACCCAGTACCATGGGAGTTCATATCACCCAGAATTAATACTGGGGATGGAAGAATCGAAACTAGATTCCAGAGTTGACTACGGCTAATGGAGGTTCTTGGTGGAACATAAACTGAAGCTATGCAAAGGTCTTTGTTCTTCACATTTATTTGGCAAGCGACGATTTCGACGCCTGATAGAGCAGGAAGGGAAATTTTGTAGAAAGGGTAGCACTTTTTGATCCCTAAAAGTACTCCTCCATAAGAATCGTCTCTATCCAGGCGTATAATGTTAAAATCGTGGAAGTTGAGTTCTTCATCGGAAGAAAGCCATGTTTCACAGAGAGCAAATATATCACAATCAGAATTGTGAAGTAAAAATTTGAACGAGTCTAGTTTAGGCACTAGACTACGGCAGTTCCACTGTAGCACTCATATCTTCAACCTCGTTCGACGAATTATCCATCGAAAGATATGATTGATGCAAGGAGGGGCCATGAAACAGTCAATTGCTTAAGATATGATTCTAATGTTGGAAGCAAGGCAGAAACTAAGCTTCTAAGAGGGTCTTGTATGTTGAACATATTTAATATGAATTCCACAATGTCCGAAAAAGCTAGCAAACCTCGTTCGGACTTGGATTTCTTTTGAGAAGGTAGAGGAGCAGCTTTATTATTTTTCTTATTTTTTTTGGGCAATGGTGGAAAATTCCTGCTGCATCCAGGGATTGGTTCAGCAGGAGCCTTCGGTTTCGTTTTTTCATCCCCATTACCCTGGGAATTTGCCAATCTTCTGGAGGTGACTTTAGTTTTCTTACGGCGCACTTTCGGGGAGGGGCATTTTCTTTTTGAGGATCCGTCCATTTTTGAAGGTGCGTGTATCACCGTAGAATCACCTTCATCGGATGAGTCAGAGTCCGATTCTTCAGCTGACAAAATCGAAAATTGGTTTGCATCTTGGACGGCTGATGCAGCCTTCACCATTTGAGCATATATCTGCTTGGAGCGTCCTGAGATTGAACGCTGCACTTTATCGGGGTGCTGCTTGTACATCGGGCACTCCTGCAAGGGGTGAGGATTCTCGCCACAGTACGCGCATTTTACTGATTCTTTGTGGCAAGAATCCTCTTTGTGGTTTTCACCACATTTGCCACAACGAGTTTTGTTGCCGCAATGGCTGGCCGAGTGTCCTAGCCTTTTGCAGTTGGTACAGTTATAAACCCTCTGTACAAACAACCGCACCGGAAAAAAGCACCATCAACTTTGACAAAGTTTGGGAGAACTGAACCAGCGAAAGTCACCCGAAACGAGTCTGAATGCTGATAGACTTTCTTGCCATCTTGTAAAGACACTGAATGCAGTTGCCTTACATCCAGTATCTTTACAAGCTCGCTTGTGACTTTTCTGTTTTTAAAACAACCCGAGGCACGTTTCAAGTCCTCGACAGACAGACTCGCGTCGGAGACCACGCCTTCTATCTCCACATCTCGAGAAGGGATGTAGATGTTGTACTCAACACTAAACAACTCGTGATCAGCAATTTTATTTGCTACATCATAATTCGGTGCTTCTACACGCAGTTTGATGAATCTCTCCTTATGTACCAAGATTCCAGGATACTTACGCAGCAAGTCTCTCAAAATATCGAGAGTTTTCAAGGGTTTATTTTTAGGCCGAAAAAAGACAACCCATGGTCCTTTCGAAAGTGGTTGGTAATACCTAGTTCGCGCAACGTTGGCATCGGAAGATGCCATAAGTGTTGCGCAAAAGCGGTGTGCAACCGCTTAAGAAGGAAAAAAAAATAAAAACCTTCTCCAATTTATTAATTTTAATTACTAGTAATTAAATTTTTTTGCACGGCGTACAAGCAAATTAAAGCGAAAAAAAATCGAAAAAAAAAACTTTTATCTAGTTGCAACAAGTTGTCTCACTATGAACCATACTCCCTTACCAGGGGTGAGAGACAGAACCACGCGCCACGAGGCAAAACAAAACTACAATAGGGAGGCAATGGACGGTGCAGCTAGGTATTCCGTTTGCTGCTGCTACGCTGCGGCTATTGACGGAGATGATGCGATGATGGTGGTGATGATTTGATGATGATCGATCACTGGGGTAAAGGTGAACAGTCTATACGTAAGACTCAGCTTACGATAGCTGCTTCCGAAAACCGTGCGCGATTCACCTGAACACTTTTTTTCAACAACGATAGCGATGGAAACGCGGTAAAAAACGAGTGTCGTATGAAGAGACCAGGACGCTGCTAACTGGCTCAGCGCTCGATACGGAATGAAAATAACTTTATATTAACTATAACCAAACATTAACTTAACATATCTTTAACTTAACTTTAACAATTAACATAACTTTAACTAAACTTTAACATAACCTTAAAGTAATTTTAACTTAAATTTAACATAACTTTAACCCAACATTAACCGAACTTTAACTTAACTTAAGCTTTAACATAGCCCTTACTTAATTTTGACATAACTTTAACTTAATTTTAACTTATCTTTCACATGACTTTACCTTAAAATTATTTTAACTTTAACTTTAACTTAACTTAAACTTTAACATAACATAAATTTAACTTAACTTTAACAGAACTTTAACTTATCTTTAACTTAACTTTAACTTTAACATAACGTTAACTTAACTTAACTTTAATTACCTATAACAGAACTTTAATTTAAGTTTAGGGCCTGTTGCTGAGGAGGAGTAACGCCAGCTGCTGGAGCACCACCTATCGCAGGCTGCTGCCATTGACCTTGTTCCAGCTGGAATCGCTGATGAGCCTGTTGTCGAGCACGGAACTCCGTTGCCTTCAGCTGTTCCAAATGGAACTGCAACCGTTCTTGTATCAACTGCTGTCGCTGGTATCCCAAACCTTCCCGCTCTCGCTCCATCGTTGTTTCGAGCTCTTCAAAGTGTCGTAGCTTGATCTCCAGTTTCTTCATCTGTGTTTCGACCAGCAGAGCAACCAAGCTCTTGAATTTCCTCTCTTCAACCAGCGGCAGTATGGCGCTCCAGCATAAAGGCTATCTTACCGTCGTCCTTCTTGGAACCATCCTTCATCTCGACATCAGTGGATCCCGGAGTAGCTGGAGCACCCGGGACTTTGCTCTCTTCATCTTCCTTATCCTTGTAAGGACCAGTACCGGCAATGCCGCTTGTTGCCAACCCAACGTACGGATCAAACTTTCCTCCGAAGCTGAACTTTTCCACATTTTTCAGATGGGCATCCATCATCGTAGCGGGGACTTCGTCCTGTAACAATAATAGAATACATATTAGTAACGAAATATTTCAACCCCATACATCACATACCTTAATAGCGGCAAACTCTTCCATTGCAGCCTTGGCAGTGCTGGCAGAAATCCTCGGATCTACTACCGAAGCCAGGAACGCAACCGTCGACATAATCGGATTGCCAGCCTTACTGAACGGAATCGGCTGGTAGGACAACGGTCCCAGATACGTATTATCATCCTCCAGATAGGGATCCTCTATCGAAAGTTTCAGGAAATGCAGAATACACTCGTCCTGGGTACGCGATCCAACATGCTCGCACACCTTGTTCCAATCATCCTTGTACATTTCCAGACCCTCGAGCAAAAGAAGTGTCTCCTGTTCGGACCAATCACGGAATATGTGGCCAAAAGGATTTTACGATCCGAAACATATTTAGCGAGTTATAGCGCTTTGAGTGAACCTTTGTCATGCGCGCTGAGGGACGCTACAAAAACATTAAACGCGTTTTTCTCGAAACCATATTTTTTATAACAATTTAGAGCATAGGGCTTGAACAAATGATCCGATTTACAATCGGAAAATTGCGCTTTGAAGGATACTATTTTTTGTATGGCTTATACCTAAAATGAAAAAAAATTGTTAGTAACTATTTTTTAAGCAAGGTCAAAGTGAGAAAAAAGGGGTAAAAAAAGCACTAAATTTTCAAATGTCCATAATTTGGTCAATTTTTGTCGGATTTCGTTCTAGTTAGGTATAAGCCATAGGGAATATTATCAACTTTAACCACTATAAAAAAATTTCATTTCAGTTCACCACCAGAGGGTGTGCACTCGAAGTTCTGCAGCAAAACCTGACTGACACTCATCCACGCGAGCCGCCATTTTGAGCCGCCATTTTGTTTTTTTACCTTCAAAAAATTTTCAAGTATTCAGGAATAGTGTACAAATATAATTATCGAAACCGGAAGTTCGTATGTCTTTTCATTCTCCTGAAAAAAAATTCCAAAGTTCAACTGTTTTTCAGCCAAATCCAAGTAAACCTCCCCTTAATAGCGGATTTCGGCTTCCACTTGAAGCTCATAAAGGTCGCCTAGTTGAAAACTTTATAAACGAAAAATTCGTTCAAAACAAAATTTGGTAGGATATTAAATTTGACTATGACCACATTTAATTCACCTGATATTTTACTTACAAACGCTTACTTTGAACATTCCCTAGTAAATATTATGGTCCTACAGGTTGCAAGAAGATTATGTAATACCGATAATTATTATTTCACCCTAAAGAAACCGACCGAGCTGGAACTATTGAGTTTAAAAGGGGTTAGCTTGCTTCTAGTGGTTAGTTTAATTGCTCTAAAATAACTTAAACTTAACCTTAACTGAACTTTAACTGAACATTAACTTAATTTTATCATAACTTTAACTTAATTTTAACTTAACTTTAACATAACTTTAACCTAACATTAACTTTAACTTAACTTAAGTATTAACATAACTTGACCTTAATTTTGACATAACTTTAACTTAATTTTAACTAAGCTTTCACATAGCTTTACCTTGAACATAACTTTAAGTTTAAAATTATTTTAACTTTAACTTCACTCTAACGTAGCTTTAACTTAACTTTAACAAAACTTTAACTTATTTTTATCATTAACATAACTTTAGCTAAACTTTAACTTAATTTTAACTTAAACTTAACATAACTTTAACCTAACATTAAGCTAACATTAACTTAACTTTAAATTTTAAACTTAAATTTAACAAAACTTTAACAATAAAATAACTTTATATTTTTTTTTTAACTAGTTCGTTTATTTGGGAGGCTCAATCGCGTTAGCTTTACGGAGCCGATAGTTCATTGTTCTTTGTTTGTAACAAAATTCACTTAATTCTATGTCTAGTAGGAGTTGGGCCGAATACTCGCGGCTTACTCGAGGTTAGAGAGGTACATTGTCGAAGGATAGGATCAGGGGAGGAGTTTGGGGGTAAGGTTTCGTTGTCTCATCAGAGCGTTGTCGCCAGTATGAATGGTAGTGCGGTTCTAGTTTTGTCTGGAGTTCGACCGGCTATGGTGACCAGTGGGCGACGATGAGACTCATCGAGACGGGGAGACAAGACAAACAAAAACTATTAAAGAGAGACAAAAGACAAAGGAATTAAATTCTTATACTAGACATTTGAAGAAACACATAAACCGACTGCATATAGCAGATATCGCGAGTTCCCAACACGTCTCTAATAGGAACATAGGGTTGTCTTCCTTGGGCCTCAAGGGTATTCAAAAGTCGCTCTCTTGCGGCGTCATTATCCGTACATTGCCAAACTGCGTGATCGATGTCATCGTAACCGTTTCCACACCGACAGATGTTGCTGTCTACGAGGTTTATTCTATTGAGATGAGCATCTAGCGAGTAGTGGTTGGACATAAGTCTACTCATCACGCGAATGAAGTCACGACTTAAGTCAAAGCCTTTAAACCGCGCTCTCGAAGAAACATTAGGAATAATTGAATGTAACCACCGTCCAAGATTTCCATTGTCCCAATCGGTTTGCCAACTCGAAAGGGTACTCTGACGCACTAAATGGTAAAATTCATCGTGTGAAATTTGCCTGTCATAAAATTCGCCTTCCTGCGCGCCCACCTTTGCGAGAGAGTCCGCCTTCTCATTGCCTGGGATTGAGCAATGTGATGGGACCCATACAAAGGTAATCATATATGATCTTTCGACCAGTACAATCATCTGCTCCCTTACCTTTGAAAGGAAATAAGATGAGTGCCTACTTGGTTTCATCGACCGAATAGCCTCAATCGAACTGAGACTATCCGAGAAGATGAAGTAATGGTCTGCGGGCATGTTGGAAATCATCCCCAATGCGAAGTTGATTGCTGCCAGCTCAGCAACAAAAACGGAACAAGGTTCCTGGAGTTTGCGGAAGGCGCTAGAGTTTTCATTGAAGACACCGAAGCCAGTGGATCCACTGAGACGAGACCCGTCTGTAAAATATCTGTTTACGCAATTGACGTGTTGGTACTTTTCAGTAAAAATACGCGGGATAATAATAGTTCGAAGTTGATCTGGAATCCCGTTAATCACTTGTTTCATGGACAGATTATATTCAATTGAGGAACTGCGATTGGTGAAGTGAGCACGGTCTGGAGTATAACAAGGAAGACACATATCCGACGATATGTAGTGGTGGTAGATTCTCATAAATCGAGATTGTGAATTCAGCCTCAGCCCAAGAATTTCTTCAAAATTTGCAATTATAAGTGTGTTCGTCACTCCGCATTTGATTAGTATTCTGAGAGAGAGCTCCCAGAAACGGTTCTGGAGGGGTGTTACTCCTGCCAGAACCTCGAGACTCATGTTATGCGTTGAGTGCATACAGCCAAGAGCAATACGCAGACAACGATATTGCATTCGTTCCAATTTTATTAGGTGACATTTTCTTGCCGAGAGAAAGCAGAAAGAGCCGTACTCTAGAACAGAGAGAATAGTTGTTTTATAAAGCGTCCCGGATGAGAACCCCACCATGTGCCGCAAATTGAACGGAGAAAGTTGATCCTCTGCTGACATTTTTGCTTCAAATACGTAATATGGCATTCAAAGTGTTTTTATGTTACTTCATACGCGAAGTTAACGATTTTCAGAGTTGCTTGGAAATGCTAACATGAAGCTTTAGTGTGATGATTTATTAGCTAGAGAATGATCTTTAGAAGAGGGTAGGTGGATAGTTCCGTTAGAAAATGAGCGAAGGGCCATTAATGCGACAGTTTTTCAAGATAGACGCACATTTTTGCCTAACCCGTACGATGTACGCAGGGACTTGAAGTATGTCTCCAAGTCCACAGGCCTGTGGTAATGCACGAAAGCATCGCAATCGGGCGGTATGAGTTATGGTCAGACGCTGGTTTGCCAGGTTTTCGAATGGCTATTACTTTGACCTGTCTCCATTCAGGTGGTATAATGTTGTTTTCTAGTAAGGAATTGAATAAGTCTAGCAAGCGTCTTTTAGCGATATCTGGGAGATTTTTCAGAAGATTGAATTTAATCATATCGCTTCCCGGTGAGGAGTTGTTCGATGAAAGAAGAGCCATAGAGAATTCCAGCATTGTGAATGGTCTATCCAGAGAGCTGCCGCTCGGAGACGCTTCTCGAAGAATGTGTTGTGCTGGAACTTAGTCCGGACAGACCTTTTTAGCGAAATCGAATATCCATCGGTTAGAGTATTCTTCACTCTCATTAGAAGATGCGCGGTTACGCATGTTGCGAGCCACCCTCCACAAGGTGGTCATTGAGGTTTCTCGTGAGAGTCCCTCGACGAAATTGCGCCAATAACCGCGTTTTTTTGCTTTGATTAATTGTTTCAGCTTTGTCTCAAGCTTTGAATATTCCTCGAAGTATGTGGAGGTTTTGTGTCTACGAAAAGCTTTGAAAGCATCAGATTTTTCTACATACAATTTTGTGCATTCTTCGTCCCATCCAGGTGTGGCTGGTCTCCTTTTGAAGGGCGCACTTGGAACTTTTCTTTTTTGTGCTTCCAGTGAACTTTTGTAAATCAAATCGGCGAGGAATCGATATTCTTCCAATGGTGGAAGCGTATCTATTGATTCGGCACCGATTGTCACCGCCGTTGCATATTTATGCCAATCTATGTTCCTAGTAAGATCAAATGGAACTCGAGATGGTTCTGCAGAGTGAGGGGCACACTTAATTGAAATGATGATTGGCAAGTGATCGCTACCATGGAGATCATTGATAACCTTCCACTGACAATCCAATGATAGCGATCTTGAACACAAAGATATGTCGAGTCGGCTTTCTCGAGCCGGAGGTTTTGCTATACGTGTCGCTTCACCAGTGTTCAAAATAGTCAAGTTGAAATCGTCGCATAAATCGTAAAAAATAGCCCCACCCAGTACCATGGGAGTTCATATCACCCAGAATTAATACTGGGGATGGAAGAATCGAAACTAGATTCCAGAGTTGACTACGGCTAATGGAGGTTCTTGGTGGAACATAAACTGAAGCTATGCAAAGGTCTTTGTTCTTCACATTTATTTGGCAAGCGACGATTTCGACGCCTGATAGAGCAGGAAGGGAAATTTTGTAGAAAGGGTAGCACTTTTTGATCCCTAAAAGTACTCCTCCATAAGAATCGTCTCTATCCAGGCGTATAATGTTAAAATCGTGGAAGTTGAGTTCTTCATCGGAAGAAAGCCATGTTTCACAGAGAGCAAATATATCACAATCAGAATTGTGAAGTAAAAATTTGAACGAGTCTAGTTTAGGCACTAGACTACGGCAGTTCCACTGTAGCACTCATATCTTCAACCTCGTTCGACGAATTATCCATCGAAAGATATGATTGATGCAAGGAGG